ACATGTAAGCTCTCAGCTACTGCTCCAATGTTATGCCTGCCTGCTGCCACACTCTACACCATGATGACCATGGACTCTAACCCTCTGGAACTGTGAGTCCTAAATTAAATGCTTTCTACTATAAGTTGCCTTGGCCATGATGTTTTGTCATGGCAAAAGAAAAGTAACTAAGACACTAGGCCATGGAATGGTGTCACAAACATTTAGGGTGGTCATTTCCACCTCAATTAATCCAATCTAGAAACCTCCTCAAACACACCCAGAAGTTCATTTCCATGGAGATTCTATATCCAATCAAATTGATAATGAAGTTTAACCATTACAGTCCCAAAATACATTTCAATTTAGTGGTAGGGATTTCCCCCACTCACTCAGGGTTATAACTTCACATTGCAGTTAATGTGTCCTGGTGCTCTGATAGCTGCCTCTCCTAAGGACTTGGTTGCCTTGAATAAACTCGGAGGCATGGATGGTTGGTTTAAAATCAACTTGCCACAAAATTGAATCAACTGAGCAGGGAGCATCACTTGAGGAATTGATATAGGAAGAACCACTCCAAGTGTGGGCAACACCTTTGGGCAGCAGCCCAGATAAAAACCATCAGGCCAGAAGGAAGATGAGCTTCTTTTGCAGCCTTGGCCTTCTGTCTGGTGCTGAGTTAATTCACTCTATTGCGGCTGTTGCTGATTCCTTCACTGACAGAGGCAGCATTTCACAAACTTCAGGTTTGGGGCCAGATTGGGACTTTTGAGGCACCTAGCCTCGTGGTCTGGACAGCTACTGGGTTCTCAACTGTTATTTTGAAATAAGCCGATTTAATACATTTACACCCACATACACCCCTCATCCCATCAGTTCTGTTCTAGAGAACCCTAATTCGTAGGGCTTCATCTCTATTGCCTGGGAGATAGGTCTGTTTTCAGATGGGAATGGCAAAGCAGTTCCAGGCTAGGTGACGTCAAATGGAGAAGCCATGGAGACGACTGTCTTGAAAAATGGTTTTGGCAGAAGCATGAGATTAGCATTTTAATTAAGGTCTTCACATTCACTAATGATCTCATTTGCTTATATAAACAGATGACAAAACTGAGGAAATACCTTAAACTTAAAAAAAAAAAATTTTGGTATATTGATAGGTTTGGGTAACATAGGATCACATATCATCATATCACAGAACTCAAGAAGTTGATGCAGTCTTCGAGCTTGTTTTCATGGGCCGGTCCACTCTTGTTTGCTCATAAAACAGGGGACTGTGACCAGAGGGCTGGTTATAATGTTTCTTGATAAACCTTCGCAAAGCAATGTGCTGTTGCGAGTAATGGGCTCCATTCATTATTAGCCCAGTTGATTTTCATTTACACTTGGCTCTAACAATTAGCTTGAGCAGGTGTGAAGGTGATGGAGGGGTTGGGACGCCCAGAGGTCAGCCTCGGCTGGATGTGATAAATGAACCATTATTATCAGCAGTGAGAGTTGTTCTTTACGCCTGTCAGCACAAACAAAGGGACAACGCATCTCACATACCTTCCCTGTTCAGAGCTGGCTCTGCCGGAGGCTGTGGGTTTCCCTTCTAGGTCCTACAGGCAAAAGGCAGGAAGGCAAAGAAACCACATGGGTAGAGGTGCGATGCTCTTTGAGGGGTTGTCATGGTGGATGGAGGAGAATCTGAAGGTTCTGTTGGGGTCATTCTGGAATAAATCTGTTATCTGCCTCTGTGGTTGATGGGGGTCCTGCCTGGGCTTAAGGATTAAGGGATGAAGAGTATATATCAAAACACAGTGTTCACACAGGGTATATAGAGAGGTATAGAAGAGTACACTATAGACTGATGGATGGTTTAGAATACTGCTTTGTTTTGTTTATCATGGAACATGTCTATATTCAGTGGGAAAAAAAACTCAGAAAGGCGTACTACTATCCACAGATAGAATGGGTCCCTAGGTACCCTAGACTCATGGAGCTAAATGTCCTGTACCTGAAACTGCTTCCCGACTCAGTTGTGTTAGACACAGCTACTTCCTGAGCACACTCAGACAGGAAGCAGTCAACTGAGAGAGCTGATGACCGACCATCACTGTCCCTGTGCCAGCCGCTCTGTGACAACTTGTCTTTGGTTTGTCAGTGTCAGGGGAGCTGTGATGGATTGGACATTTGTGTTAACCTACAATCTCTGTGGTGAGGCTTCCACAGCTCCATGGGCCTGTGTTTGGAGTTAGGGCCTGTAAGGAGGCAGTTAAGGTTAAATGAGACCACACAGTGGGGCTCTGTAATTGTTTGTTTTACACTTAGCTCTTAGGGGGGCCTGCTACCCAGCTCCCAAATAATCACATGGAGACATTACTTATAAATGCCCAGCCTTAACTTGGCTTGTTTCTAGCCAGCTTTTCTTTTT